GTCAAAAAGTGCAATAACCAAGCAAAGCCCCATAACCTTACTCAATCAAGTAGCCAAACCAATAAACCATAACCAATGTACAATCCACATAGTAGAACATTTAGATATACATTTCATCTTATTTTAACAATATAACCCAACACATAATTATAAGGTGAACTAATCAACACATATTATCAACAATGTGAAACTTCGTTATGTGTATATGATATATTATCATAACATAATCATATATAAAAACATCATTCTAAGACTCCCCTCAAGGCTAACTGGTGCAATGCTTAGGTAGAGTCCCATGCCCCTAACTGTACTAAGGTAGACCCTTAGGTTTTCAAAGTTAGAGTTCAAATCCTTTAATACATTCTACCTTTTGGGAACAACTTTTCCTAATCCACTTTGACCACATGAGCTAGTGTGGAATCTCGTATAATGAACCCAATATCGAAAGAATGCGTTCTACATTCCAAGGTAGCACCAAAAACATAAAACATAGCAACTACATTGATCCACTAGCTACTATTCCTATAGGGGCAACATAGTTCAAGAACTATGAGACATAGTTACGACCATCTTTATTATTCATTAATTATAGTCTCCAATCTCAAGATTAATGTAATGCTCCTACTTTCCCTATGTGGGAAAGGACACTCCTCAATCATGTTCACTCGGTGCTAAGCTAGTGTGCCATTTTGAAATGTATTCAAGCCTTAAATGATAAATCATAGCTTAGTTAAGGTCTTAGGGTGTACCCCTTGTATAATCATAATAATCAATATCTTATTAAGAATTTTAGGAGTATAAATCCTTTCATCACAATTCATGCAGGTGAGGTAAACACATTACATATCAATTCATAATAAGGGACATTCGTATACATCACCATCCTTCTAGCATTTACATCTTAATCAACCTCAGAACCACAATCAAGACATTTCAATTATGCATCATACCACCATATAATACTCATATAAGGCAGATTTCAATATAACATAATGACTTAACAATAGGTAATCACAATTGGAAGTAGATAGAGATTCTAAGGCTTACCAAGTCTTCCTTATAGTTAATTAATAAGGCCTTACTATAAAACCTCAATTCAATAAATTTTATACGCTCAACATCATAATTCAATAATCAAAATAATAAAAATACTAGAAGAGTCACTAAACTATAATTCAATATCTAATAAATGCTTAAAACAAGATTACTTAGGCCAATTTCCATAATCAAGATCACTTCTCAAGACTAACATGAAAGACAATAATTCATTCTAATTTTTTAATGGTTCGTGTAAAAACATCATCTTATAGTTATTTAACCCATAATCAAGAGATTGAATCAATCACAACCCAACTTACATCAAGATAAACCTATGGTTTAGGCTTAAGGATAATGCTTTGTAATTTAGCTCAAATCATTAAAAATTAGAATAATCAAGTTAAATTACATGTATATCTATCCATTAAATCCAAAATAAACCATAAACAAATCAGTTCATCACATCAAATTCATAATTGAGTGAAATTCACTTGAAAACCAAACTTTTGAAAACCATTTTGATTGGAACCCTTTGAGGAAAGAGTCTCAAAGGTAAATTAGATCTCATCCTTAACATTTGATGTAGATTTAATGGTCAAATCGTCCCTTTCCATCCCCCAAAACCTCCCTCTAGATTTTCTTAAATTGTGGCTTCAAAATAGAGAGAGAGAAGGAAGGAAGTTTATTTTGGTTAGTTGTGTTTAGATTAATGAGGGTTAGGGTCTTTACATGGAAATTTCATTAATTAGTTAGACTCACTTAAACCCCTTATTAACCTCCTAACCCCTTGTCAAATTAAATGAAGCAACATTAAAACATGCAGGAAGATTTGACCCTCACAAAAAGAACCCCATCGACGAACTGTCTGTGAGTCAACGGTTGGTCTCCCCCTCCGACCTGCACAACCGTCGTCTTGGTCAGAGACTGGTGCAGGCGGATGATTCCTCCTTTTTTTGAATTACGGATAGATGGTTGTCAATGAAGCACTATCGATGCATACAATAATCGTTGACTGCATCTCGTCGATGCACAATGCCTAGTAGTGTTGACATCAACTTGCAAAAAGTCCTCCTCATGGGCCCTTGGTGTGTCCTTGGCGAGTTTTACCAAGACATTTCAATCATCAATCACCTTATGCACATTTTATTCACAATTCCACGTAATTTAATGGATTTTCGACTCTTAATATCTAGTCAAATAGGCTAAGGCACGATAGTACCCCTTAGAACTAGTTTTCGAATGTCACAAATGTTCTTGGGCGTTTTAGTTCTACAACCTCCTAAATGACCTATATTAAACTGAATAGGTCTTAAAATAGTTCTATTGGACCATGATTCATATGTTAGGCTCTGAGACTCATCTTGAATTTTCAAAGTGTTACATTATCCCCCCATAGGAACATTCTTCCCCGAATGACACTAAAACATTTTTTAAGGAAGGAATAGACTCAAGACTAGAAGACCGACCAATAAACAATATCAAACTAACATAAATTATATAATTTAAACAAGCCATATTTCAAAACTCCAATTATCACACATAAGACCCAAAACATTTCATCATGAGGTATTTCCTTCTCACAACACATAAGAGCTCAAAATACATTACATGAGCCAATTATCACAAAAGTTCAACTTATAAATTGTTCACATAACTTTTTACTAAGACTCAAAATATAAAAATGAATAACATACAACAAACAAACAAAAAAGGAAAATTTTCAAGTTTCAAAACGACTTTGTTGTAATGCAACCCACAATGCACAATTTTGCAACACTTCAACAAATATCAAAAAACATCAATCTCTAGTCATATTTATTCTATTAAAAAGAATGACTAGCCTTAATTATAAAAAGGATGAGGGTAACGGGACTTCATATTGGCCTCAACCTCCCATGTTGCACCCTGAACTAGGTGATTCTTCCATAACACCTTTACGGAAACAACCTCTTTATTCCTTAACTTCTTGACTTGGCTATCAAGAAATTGAACCGAAAATTCCTCAAAGGAGAGGTTATCCTTGACACCAATACCCTCAGTAAGAAGAATAGAATCGGGATCAGTGATGCACTTCTTCAACATAGAAACATAGAAAAACGGATGAACCAAAGACAATTCATGAGAGAGTTCCAATTCGTATGACAACTTACCAACCCCTAGAAAAATTTCATAGGGATCCACATAATGAAGAGTAAATTCCCCTTCTTGCCAAATTTTACCACCACTTTTATTGATGAAATTTTCAAATATACCTTATCACCTTTTTCAAATTCCAAATCCCTTCACCTATGCTCGGAATAAGACTTTTTTCGACTATAGGCCATTCACAATCAGTTCCTTATGATATGAATCTTCTCTAAGGTCTTGTAAATCAAATCGAAACCAAAAAGCGAAGGGTCACCCACATCAAACCATCCGATAGGATACCCCCACGTCCTACTATACAAGGCTTCATAGTGAGCCATGGAAGTTGATGAACGAATTATTATTTGAAGCAAACCCCATCAAAGGTATATATTTATCCCAATCTTTTTATAATCAATAATAAGATCTAAGCATATCCTCAAGGTTTTGAATAGTGCGTTCGCTTGACCATTCATTTGGGTATTAAAAGCAGTACTCAACTTCACCTTAGTACCCAACCCTTTTTTGAATTTCCTCCAAAACTTAGATGTTAATTGTGTACCCCAGTCCGATATGATGGATAACAAAATACCATGGCGGCAAACAATCTTGTCTATAAGGATCCTAGTATAATCTTCCATTGAATAAGTAAATTTGAAGTTAATAAGGCGAGCGGACTTAGTCAACTTTTGAGTCCGAGGTAAACCCACTAAAAAGTCCATATTGTTGCTTCCCACTTCCAAGTATGAATTTGGATCACTTGTAGTAATATACCCGGCCTGTGATGTTTGGCTTTTACTTGTTGGCTATTTGGATACTTAGCGACAAACTTCTATATGTCCTTCTTCATACCTTCCCACCAATAAATTTCCATAAGCTCATGATACATATTTGTCGAAAATAGATGAATTAAGTAGTGGGACCCATGTGTTTCTGATCTTGTCCCTCAACCCATTTACGTTGGGAACAAGTAATCTCCCTTGGAAACTTAAAATACCATACCCCCTAGGGAACTCATTAAGATTGCTGAGGAGCATTTCCTTAAACTGCATCAATGATTTGTGAAGGTGTTGCTTGGACGTCACCTCAACCACCAATGATGACTTGGAGTTATCGTGGACAATGAAACCACCATCAGAAGAATATTCTAATCTCACCCAAACCTAGATAACCTATGTACATCCCTCACGAGGTTTTTCTTGGCTTCATAAATGTGGGGTACACTACCCATATTGATACGACTTAGGGAATTTGCAACCACATTAGCTTTGCCGGGGTGATAAAGGACACTACTGTCATAATCTTTCAACAATTCTAACTACCTTCTTTGCTAGAGATTCAACTCCTTTCGGGTAAACACATATTGAAGACTCTTATGGTCGGTAAATACATCAACATGTACTCGGTACAAAAAATGATTCCATATTTAAAACCAAATACCACGACCGCTTACTAAAAGTCATGAGTGGGATATTTTCAATCATGTACGTTAAGTTTCCTAGTGGCATAGACTATCAATTTACCAGGTTGCATAAGCACACGCCCCAAACCCACTCGGGATGCATCACAATATACAGCAAAACCCTTTGTACCATCCGGTAATGTCAACACGGATGTGGAAGTGACACTATCTTTCAACAGTTGGAAACTTTTCTCACATGCCTCCGACCACTTAAATGTCTTACTCTTTTGGGTCAAAGTAGTCAAGGAAGATGCAATGGACGCAAAAACATCTATGAACCACTCATATAACCCGCTAGACCCAAGAAACATTTAATTTCAGTTGGAGTCAATGTTCTAGGCCAATTTTTCACCACCTTCATTTTCCTAAGGTCCATTTAAACTCCTTCACGAGAGATGATATGTCGCACAAATGCCACCGTCCTCAACAACAGCTCACACTTGCAATATTTGGCAAACAATTGATGTTCCTTCAGGGTTCTCAATACTACACTCAAATGACCCGTATGATAACTCTCATTCTTTGAATATACCAAGATATTGTCAATGAAAGCAAAGACAACTAAATCTAGGTAATTTTGAAACACCCTATTCATTAGGTTCATAAACGCCGCCAGAGGATTAGTGAGCCTGAAAGACATTACCAAGAACTCATAGTGCCCATATATAGTTTGAAAGACCATCTTTGGTTCATCCTCTTCTCTCACCCTAAGTTTGTGATACCCGAAACTTATGTCAATTTTTGAAAATTAGCTCGCCCCTTAATCAAACATGTCCTCAATCCAAGGGAGAGGATATTTATTCCTAATGGTTATTTTAATTATTTGGCGTTAGTCAATACACACTCTTAAGCACCCATTCTTCTTCTTCACAATAAAAATCGGAGAACCCCACGGATATTTACTAGGTCTTATGAAGCCTTTGTCTAGGAAATCTTTCAGTTGAGCCTTCCACTCTTTCAATTCGGTTGGAGCCATCCGATAAGGAGGAATTCAAATGGGATTTATATCTGGTAGCAAGTCAAAACCAAAATCTATTTCCTGTTCAGGAGGAATCCCGAGAATGTCATTAGGAAAAACCGCAGGAAATTCACTTACTACGGGGACCAACTAAATAAAAGGAATTTTAGAGTGTAGATATTGGACTCTTACAATATGGTATTGACAACCTTTATAGATCATTTTCCATGGTCTTAGATAAGAGATGATAGGACCTCAAGGATTAGAGTTCCCTCTCTTCTACTCTACAATGGGTTAATTTGGAAAGTCAAACTTCACCATCCTTGTCCTACAATAAATAAAGGCAAAGCAAGCAAGCAACCGATCCATACAAAATATATCATCAAAATCAAGCATATCGATTTCTACTAGTTTAACATACTAAACTCTATTGGGCTATAATATAGGACAATTTTTATATACCCTTTTTGCAACAATTGACTCACCCATTGGAGTAGACACTACAAAAGGTTCATGAAAAACATCGGGTGAAATATCAAAGTTTTTGGCTACTAGAGGAGTGACAAATGATGAAGTAGCGCTGGGATCAACTAAGGATACACATCAATAGAAAAGACTTACAACATATTGGTCACCACATCAAGAGAAGTCTCTTGCTCACCCCTAGAGCGGAGAACATTGAAGTGGTTCATCTTTGGTTCCTCATCAGAGCCACTTGCTTGAGCTTGAGCACTACCCTTGTCTTGAATCCTCACATTAGGGCAATATCTAACCTTGTGCGCGCACTTTCAACAATAAAAACAATTATACATCCAATAAAAGCAGTTACCATAGTGCTTCTTGCCACACTTTCCACAAGTTGGCTTCTAAGTTGGTGAATTTGTACCTTTTCCCTTCTTGAATTTAGGGTTAGACACACTATCACCACTATATTTTTGGAACTTGGATGGGACTTGACTTGAATCCCGGTTCTTAAATCTAGATTTGTCTTATATGTTATGCCGATTCTTTGAAGAACCTCCATTAAAAGATCTTCCCCTCTTAAAATCATAACTCTTTCTCCTAGACCTTGAATCTTCTAGATGCTTGGAATGCACCATAAAATGAGAAATGTTCATATTGTCGTGTAGCATAGCCGAATGACACTCATATAAATAATGTGACACCCTCGTCACAAAGCAGCTCATTTCATCTCTAGGATCAGAAACCAAAGAAGGAGAATATTTCGACAACTTAATGAATTCAAAGAATATTCATGAACAACTATACGTCCTTGGAGAAGGCTGATGAACTCCACCACTTTTGCTTCCCTCATCGTCTAAAAGATTGTCTCATCTCATACCATCTAAATGATCATCACAATTTTTTTATAGCTCTACATAAAATGTAAAGAAGCCACATATACTATTATACAAGTCGTACAAAATTAAAGTGAAATGAACATAAATGTATTAGAAAAACAAACAAACTTCATAAGAAAGATATTGGCACTGCCCTCGGAAAGTGAGGACCTATCCACTTTGATGAAAGAGAATATCCTACCTTTGTTCAAGTAATCTTGAATGAGCCTTCAACGACCGGCACCTAAAGTGTTTGGGTAAAAGAAAGAAAATTGTGTTAGTACTCCATATTTACTATATATGAGACCATATGCACATATAATTGCAAAACATGCTAAAAAGGGACATTTAGTCAAAACATGCCATTTAACCTTTAAAAATTCTAATGCAAAATCACGCAAGGCATACCAATCAACGAAACATGCTTACTAACTTAAAAGAGTAATATGTATCCCAACATAATTGAACCCATTATTTACTAAAACCTTACCATCAAGGAGTAGCATTACAAGCAACGCTAAGAGTCAACTATATCATAATAAGCAAGATAACTACTCATGAATCTTTATCAAGTCAACCAGTGCAATGATCAAGAAAATCCCTATAACCTTACTCAATTAAGTAGCCCCAACAAGAAACCATAACGAATGTCCAACTCACCGTAGTATAACATTTAGCTATACGTTTCATCTTATTTTAATAATATAAAACACATACTAATAAGTGAACCAATAAAATATAGTATAAACAATGTTCAACTTTATTATATATATTTCATATATTATAAAAACATAATCATATATACAAACATCCCTCTAAGACTCCCCTAAAGGCTAACGAGTGTAATGCTTAGATAGAGTCTAATACCCCTACCGAGACTAAGTTAGACTCTGAGGTTATCCAAGCTAGAGTTCAAATACTTTATTTCCATATACCTTTTGGCCATAACCGACATAGACCACATGATATAATGTTGCATCCGGTGTCATGAACCCTTCACCAAAAGAAGGTTGACAATTTTCCAAGGTAGTACCAAAAAGTAAAACATAGAAACTACGTGGATCCACTAGTAGTAATCCAATGGGGGAAACCTTGTTTAATAACTTAAAGATATAGTTGGGATACTCTTTATGCACCATGCATTATAGTCTCCAATCTCAAGAGTAATATAGGGCTCCTACCTTCCCTATGTGGGAAAGGACACTCCTCGATCTAGTTAAATCGGTGCTAAGCTACAGTCCTTTTTTTTAAATGTCCTTAAGACTTTAATTATCAATCATTGCATAGTTTAGGTCATAGGTCAACCCCTTGTATAATAATCATCATTAATAGATCAATAAGAATTGTATGACTATATATCCTTTATTCACAATTCATATAAGTGAGGTTAACATATTACATATTAATTCATAACAAGGAACATTGGTATACATTACCATACTTATAGAATTTATATCTTAATCAACCTTGCAACCATAATCAAGATATTTCAAATCAACATCATATCACCCTATCATCCTAATATAAGGCATACTCTAGTGTAACATCATGACTAAACTACAATTAATCACAATTTGAAGTAAAGATAGAGATTCTAAGACATACAAAGTCTTCCTCATAGTTCATCAATTAGGCTTTACCGTAAATCCTCAGTTCAATCCAATTTAAATGTTTAACATCATAATTCAATAATCAACACGATAACAATACTAGAAGAGTTACTACACTTTTTAGACCATACTTTAAAACATGTTAGACTCTTGCTTCACCTATGTTATGTTAAAGGTATCATAATTTTTTCCCACACCGTAATAATCTGCGCGACGCTCATCCACTACCATATTTTGGCTGGCGTGGCATCTTTCCTTTCCAATTTTGTGTCCTCCTTGGGGACCCTTAGGTTCATCCCCGGAGCATTGTTCCTTGATGTTCAGACCCTTTACATGTTAGGAAATGCGTAGGAACTGTCCGTACACAATTTGACTCTCAAACCATCCTTCAAAGCATCAGTATAAAACACTACTACACACTAGCTTAACTTCGACTAGTTTACGGACGTCCTTGTAATCCTTGGACGTTTGACCTACAAACACTTCCAAACATTAAATACTGCCTAAGAACACCATTATTAATAATTTAATGACTTTAAATATTATGACACATGTTTTAGGATCTATTTAGACCTAGCTCATTTTTAGGGAGTAACAATAAATTTTTGAGGTGTTTCAAAACATTTACCCATATGCCTCTTGCAATATTTTGCGCAATTGGATTTCTCACATTGCGAATTACAACCTTTTCCCTACTAAGGCTTAGAGTTAGAAACCCTATACTTTTTAGCCTTTAACTAATTTGAGGGAACTTGGTTGGAGAATCTCTTCATAAAAATAGTTTCGTCTTTGATTTAAAGCTTACACATAAAAGTATTTCCATCATAGGGCCTTGCCCTCTTGGCATCCCTATTATTCCTCTTAAGCCTACTCTCCTCAACTTCTTTCAGCATGCACAATCAAATGAGATAAATCCATTTAATTTTGAAGCATTACCGCATGACACTCTTCCACAAGATCATCTGACACACCCATCAAAAAGCTAATGAATTAATCTCTCTGATTACTCGCCAAAGAAGCGGCATATTTAGAAAATTTAGTGAACTTGAAAAAGTTTTCTTGAACCTTCATACCTCCTTGACAAAGATGAATTCATACACTTTAACCTATCTTTTATCCCTTTGGAAGAACCTATAAGGAAAAGTCCCTCCTAAAGATTTCAGAATTTATGAGACCCGCTCTAAAAGCCCTATTGTAACCACCCTAAAAATGGATATGCTATGGAATGCGTAATGTGTCTAGAGTGCCTACAATTAAAGTGGGTTCAGACGGATTGATTCTCGTAAAAACCATACCTCTTAAACCTTGATACAGAAAATCCAACTAACTTGGGGAGTTATTTTATCTATAAATGGGTGGGTCCAGCAATGTGGGACTCTCGAATATGAAGATTTACTCGAATAAGTCTTTACCGGACTTAAAAAGGGAAAATCATACGTTTGGAGTGTCTAGGATTAAAATAGTCTTTTCAAGGCAAAGGGTAGTATCGTAATTAACATAAATATATAATGATTTATTTAATAAATAAGGTGGAGAGGCCTTTTGGGGAGAGAGGACCAAAAATTTGCTCTTAGAGTGAAGTCTTGCTCCATCCGGGTTCAAACCTAGGTGGAAGCGATGATTTACTCTTTTTTATTTAAGTTAGTAAGTTAATGTAATTAATTAATATTTATTATTTATTGGCTGATTTAAAATAAAAGGGAAATCATATATTTAACATTTAACTAAACTTTATTTGACAATGTTCTAAACTAGACTCCTAAGCCTAAGATAACTCTCTCCTTTAGTGTCTATCTCTCAACACACGTTCAATCTATTTCTCCTTCACATTCTATCATCAAAAAAAATTCATGAACATAATGATAAACCAAGTTCTTCATACTTGAATAACTCACCACGAAAGATAAAAACAAACAACTAAATTAATCACGTAGGAAAAGAGAAGGTTGTCTGTCGACATTGGTGTTGAACTTTCGGTGTTGGACGTGTGTTTGGAGGAGTTCTTTGGAAATCAAGTAGATATTTTAACGTCAAAAAGGTATGTGTTCTCTTCTCTCTTGGTCCTTTTCCCAAGAGACCCCTTAAGGTTCAGTATATTCATTCCGTAAACTAGGGTTATACCCCGTTGCATGTCCCTTTCACTAGCTCCCTTTGAATAACAGTTTGGTTATTTTTGCTGGTAGAAAAGTAGGGATTAAACATGTTGTTGTGATGCTTATGTTTTTATATGTATGTTCAAAATTATGTGTCTTTTGTTGATATTTTTTGTAAATGTAACTACATGTGTTTGGGTGTGTTGCCATGGCTATTGGTCGAAGTTTAGGAATTGAAATGGAATGTTAGTTCTTTGTATTTCATGTACACATGTTTATGTAAATCGTGATGTTCATATAACATGAAATGTGTCTGATTTGAGCGATAATATCCTGGATAAATTAATCAATGAAAATGCGCCTAAAATGTTCTAAATGCACTATGATATTTCTCTAAGAACTAACGTGTAATGTAAATAAAAAAAGGCTAAAAATATAACTCAAATTTCAAGAACCTTGTTGATAAATTTCATCCAAGTAATTTAAAATGTCATGAAAATTTAATAAAAACAAGTGAGGTAAATCAGTGTAGGACCCGTGACCTCACCACTTTAAAAGTTTTGAAAATAAAGAAGTGAAAATCAATGTGGCAGGGTGGGGGGGAATTGAACCGTGCTCTTGGCTGGAAAATATTTTATGAAAATAAGAAATGAGAGGGTTGGGATTCGAACCCATAATCTCTCGGTAACATATAAGGAAAAATGAAAACAAAATAAGTCTTAGGCATTGGAATCAAAGCCAC